TTTTTACCCCTTGAACGTGAATCTGATATCGTTTCATTTATGAAAACTCTATTTCAAGAAATAATATTATATTACAAAAATCTTATTTCTAAAAGTAATTTTACATTCTGTTAATCGAATGTATCCTTAAATATCAATAAAAAAAATATTGTTCTACACATGGAAATTGTGAAAATAATGAGGTGGTCTGAATTAGATTCAAGTCAAGTACTTGATTATAGAAGGTATGATCTAATTGAAAATGTAGTTATTTTAGGGATGTGAGTGAAAGATTTGAGTAATTCTTAGGTTGCACGCAAATATCATGTACGAAAACATGTTGAGATATGTTCAATTTTTAAGTTTTCCCAATTGGAGGGCATAAAGTATTGGTTCATCCATTATTTACCTTTTCTATATATATATTGTTATTCGATTGTATCAAGTAAACTAATCACAGAATTGTCAAGAAAACTTGCATATGTTAAAAGTTTTCTTAATGTCATTAAAGGGATCATCAACCATCCAAATTTCTCTAATGTCAGTTGAGAAGATACATACCGTAAAGCTGCTTTATATGTAGAAACCTTTAGCTATGGGGTTCAAACACATGCATAAGAATATCCTTGACCTTTTCACCAATGTCCTCTTCTTTGTATGATGTTGCAAACTTCACTGCAAGCAAACAGGACAAAGAAAAAGAAATTTATTAAAAAATACATTTCTTACTGCTAACTGCATAATGCTAATTCAAAACTCGAATGCCTTCGATGAATCAGACCTAACGGAGGAGGGTTGGAGTAATATTCAAAACACTACATTAATGCAAATATTAGTAGGACGAATAAGCTTTAACTGCGATTAAGAACTCTTACTCTCATGTAAGACGAATTGTTTTAGTTTACTGAATCTAGAAAAGCAGTTGTCACAGTTTATGCAAAATTTGACATCTAATCTTAGTTATCCTGAAAAAAAATAAAAGGAAATCTAATTCTTGACCAATCGCTTTTCCACTTAATGATATGTGGTATTTCACATTTGAACCTAGCTTATATTTAAGGGCAGGATCCCCTATCAAATCCCCCTCCACCCCAAGAATACCCGAGCTCAAAAGACATATTTGGATAAACATTGAAACTGAATGATTTAAGTACATGGGGATTGAGAAGAAATAATTTATGCAGTGCACAAGAGAAAACTGAAAATTTACCCCAGGGTAGAACAGGAAACTCCCACTGTTGTTTAGGCACTGTGATCACATATGAAGTAACCTACAAAAGGACAAAAAAAAAAAGCATAAATGAAAAGTTTTAATATATTTTAATCAAATTTGAGTGAATGTCAGATATGAGCATGTATCCAAGGCAGTCATTGTTTCTTAAGTTTTTCCATATACACTTAAATGAAAATGTCTTACACCATTGTTTAAATATATGATCATATATGAGTTCTTAGAAAATGAAGAGTTCTAGTTACATAGAATTTAGCTTTTGTTTAATCATATAATTTAAGAATAAAAGACATTTATTGGAGATATTTTACTAGAACGAAAACATGCCAATATTGCAGCAGCCAGAGAATACGGAGAACTAAACAGAAGTGATGTCTCCTCATTTTCATAAAGAAAATCCATCACATCCATACATGCTTCAAAGCTCACCAATTCCCCAACCTTTGCCACTCCACTGTAAGAAAAATCCAAAAAAAATGATACTAAGATGAATAGATGATAGAACTTTTCAAATGATTCAATTCAAATGGATTGGATATTGGAGTGGGGCCAGAACATTACTTGAACTGAACAAAAAGCTCTTCAAGGAATATGAAAGCCACATTTGATGTCCCGATTTCAAAATTCAAGACCTTGACATTTCAAAGAAGGGAAAAGACCATGTTATTACTTGAGAGTTTGATCAGACCAAAGAACCTTATATTAAAGCCATGAGATTTACCTTAAGGAAGACCACCTCCTGCAAAATGTACTCATCAATCACCATGCCATATGATTAAATGAGGTACTAAACTCCCTAAAATAAAGTAGTTTTACAAATATGACATTGTATTAAATCAATACAAATTTCAATAGATATAATTCAAAGTTTTCAATAGTAAGGTTATTTCGAATTTTGATTATAATATATATTTTGAGTTTGATCATCAAATGAAAACTGCAAATATCAAACGAAGTATTGAGGAAAACGTAAAATTAACCGTAAAAGTAAATAACTTACAGCTTCCACGAAATCTCTAGTAGTAAAATGCTGATCCTTAATGAATTCGTCTCTCAGTGATTTGAAACATTTTACAGAGAGCGCAAGAGAATCGTGTTTCTACAATAACAAACGAAAAGCATATCTTCTGAGAGGAGGGAAAAAGAAAAGAAAAGAAAAGAAAGATAAGCTTGAAATCTGAAAACTCAACTTTACTTGAAATCCATATTGAAATGAGTGCAAATAACTGCAGATTGCTCTCTTCAACGGATCGTAAAAGCCAGCTTCCGATCTGATTCCTCTGATTTATTAAACTGCAATAAGAATCAAACGAAACTTCATCTACATTAAAATTCAATATTCAAAAAGAGATTCATGGAATTAAAGGGGGAGAAAAAGCAGATTTACGTGGTGAGAGAAGGGAGAAATCGATCGGCGAAGAGAAACAGACCTGTGTATTTCACAATGAGTGGAGCTCGGAGTAGCTTTAAAATTACAACCGAAAAATGAAATTTACGAAGAAAATGGAACTTTGTTTTTGTGAATTAAATTATGTGATATAGTTGGATTCCTTACATGAGAAGATCGAATGAGAAACTCCACCGACTTCTTTCTCATCCGCTTCATTTCATGCAGGGAATCAACGTCGCTCGAGCCTTTCATTTCAAAGAAAATCAATAAACAGTTGGCTCCGCAGCAATTTGTTTTTATTTTTTTAAATCAAATTTCATTTGGATATCTATATTTAATCTTATTTTTAAATTCAATCATTATATATATAATAAAAATGGAAAATATTTAATTTAATTTAATAATATAAAAATATCATATTGAATTTAAATATATTTTTAACAATCATAAAGTAAATATTTAATTTTATAGTTGAGTGTTTGGATCACATAAAAGAATATTACATGTAGAAATATTTTTCCCCTAAAATCACGCCCCGCATTTGGTACGAAATAATTCACTCATGATTAACAAAAAATTATTCACCTTTTTAGTTGTTTTTTTATATTTTTAATTAATAATTGATATCTGATCTATGAACCGACTAATCCAGATCGGGTACTGCAAAGGTGAGGGTGACCCTCCCAACCCAGTTTACTCCATTCACAAATACCAAGATTTGAACCCCTGACCTTGCTTAAAAGACCTAGTACATCATCCTACTAGACCAACTGGTTGTTATTTAGGGGGGAAATATTCTTAAAATTATAGTTTTGGATTATTTAGGATGAAAATATTCTTAAAATTATAACTTTGGAGCTGGTTTTAAATATTTACCCAATGTAACTGCCTCGACTAGGTTTCTTAGGGTATGTTTGGTTCACATAATGTAAGATTACCAGTGGGAATAAAAAATTACCAGGGAATAAGATTACTGGGAATGTTACATTACTGTGTTTGGTTGGTTTGGCGGAAATGTAGGATTACAGTGTTTGGTTGAAGGAATAAAAGATTACTGGAATGTATATTTTATCAAATTGTCATTGTTCTATATTTTTTAACAAGTGAAATTCTAAATATTTAAATAAAAGTTATTTATATAAAAATTCTATTTATTGATAATATATTACTTGAGTATTTAAATATATCATGTATTATTTTAATTTAAATTAATATTAAATTTTACATAATTTATGTAAAAATATATTAAAATTTGACATCAACATTTAACTAAATGTTTACATTGTAAAAATTCTTCATAGATATTCATAATAATAAAAAGATGTAAATTGTTTTTGTTATCTAAGATATAATATTTATTATATCTTCTATATACAATAATTTATTTATTTATTTATCTTTTATATTTCTATTTAGTTGCATACTTTATCATTATATTTATGTCATGAATTTATATTACAAAAGCATAATTCAAATAAGTAAGAAAATATAACACTAAAAATCATATTGTCTAAAATTTTATATTTCATCGTCATTCATCATTATCTTTTCTAATATTTTAAAAAAATTATTAATTCTCAGTTCTAATCTGATTTGTACTTAACTCTTGATTACGAAAAGCAAGCAACCTAATAATTCATGTTTCCCAACAGGTAATTTCTCTCCGAACATACAAAAACCGACAGAGGTCAAACTTTGAACATACTAGACCGTTAATTTCTTTCTAATCATACACAAAGGACAAGTGAAATAGCTTACCTGTATCAAAAGAGAATTCTAAAACAATTTTAAGTGGCTGGTAATTTGGCCATGTCCGAATTATTCTAAGATATCGGTCATGGGATTGCTAATTCGACTATGTCTGAATTATTGTAAGCCTGTCTGAAATTTGACTTATTTCCGAATTATTTGGACTATTTGTAGGGTAAAAATGATGTCCTATTTAACAATAGAAGCTGTAGCGAAAACCAAAATTTTGAACTGATACTGTTGAGGATTAATTTTTGGAGTAAAAGTCTAGATTTTTAAGCGAAAATAGTAAAAACGAAGATGATGTACAAAAATTTTGATACATAATTATTGGGGTAAATAAATTAAGTTTGAATGAATATGATTTTATTTGTATTTGTTTATTTATTTTTATAAGTATTTATGTTTAATTTGTATTCATTTAATTTTTAGTGTTGTATTTGTGTCCGTTTATTTATTTTTGAAGGTATTTAAGTTCATTTATTTTTTTAATGTGTTAGTGTTCGTTCGTATAGTGCTTACGAATATATTCATTTAATGTTCGTTTATATGTTCACGAACGTATTCATTTGGTAAAATTATGTTACTAGTAAGAACTTTTCGAGCTTCATATTTTAACCTCTAAATTTCATCATGTGTTCAATTTAATTCCTACATCATGGTCAATTTGAATGGCACAGAAGCATCAATGCGGTCCGGCAAAATATCACAGTAGGAACACAATGGAAACTGGAATGACTGTTGTTTTCAGATCCATATAGGAGATGTAGAGTCTGAAAAGTTGCAAGTTGCAAGATTCTTTTAAACCTCAAATCATATTTCGGGCATGCTTGGTGAAAGAAAAAAAGGAAAGACTACCAGATGTGTTCTTGTTTAAGTATGGTGTTGCATATTACCTTATTCCTTTCTGAAAAGTACAACAGTTATTCTAATAAATGGTTATGGAAGTCAGAGAAAACATAGAAGAATCAATCATTAAATATAGGACAAATGCCATAAGAATTGTTTGTTAGCATTGTTCCGTAAGTACAAACAAATTAAGAAATGGGTTCGACCAAACAGTACTAATAACTTACCTTAAGATCGAGGTATTAATAACTTACCTACAGTTCAAGGTAAAAGTCACTTAGCGCAAGGATAAAACTCAAAATAATATAAAACCAAGAAGTATTAATAACTTACCTTACGCTGAACAGAAGCCACTTTGCAAAGTATTTTAGATGGTAGATTGAATGAAGATATTTGGTGTTGTGACCCCTGATGCATTGATGCCTTAAGCTGTACACAAAGAATAAAAAAATACTCGAGATTAATAAACCAAACATTGTGTCAAGTTATAAAACCTACACCTAAAACTTAATATCATAAGGGACATAAGTCTTCAATAGATACTATAGAGTATAGAGTTTTATTAGCAAAACTAAATAAAAAAATTCCTTTTAAATAATCTTCGAAATATTTAACAAACACTACCTTGACAGTAAATATTCAGACACGGAGATGTATATAAATATTCTTGTAAATACATACATGAAGGAAATTATATATTGCCATAAACATTTTGTAATTCATTGTATCAGTGAATTGATACTAATACTCAAATATATATGACAATATAAGTTAATAAGGTTTCATGACACATCATACAACCTTCAAATTATTGATTGCCTAAAGTGACTCACCAAGATGAATCGTACCCATTTTGTTTTAAAGAAAACATGACCCAATATAAATACCAGATGATTTCTTCTGCATAAAAAACCAAAAAGGAAAGAACCAAGTGCTTGCAGGAACCATAACCGTATTAACCAATATAGAACCATTATTACTCAAAATAAGAACACTATGGCAAAGGTTCACAAACCAATTCAACCAACACTTGTTAAATTATGAAATATGATCAATACAAAGAAGTTATCAGATTAAAGTTCATGTAGACATACTTGTTCCATGTGACCTTGTGGGAAATAATAAACACGCTCCCCTACGCGAGGAAGCGTGACAAGAGGTCCAGCACAGGCATGCCATAGTTCACGATACAAAGGATCATCTGCAGTCACATAAAATGTAAGACAGAGAAGACAATAATGATAAACGATAAACCACCGCCGTGCGGAAACAAACCAGTACATTTGAGAAACAAGAATTCAACTTGCATATTAAAACACAGTAAAATTTGAATACCATATAAAATTCACAAACCTGGTTGTCGTTCGGCAGATGGAATATTCGGTGCCGCAAAAGCCATAGAAGCACCCCCCCAAAAGAGACCAGCAGAAAGCAATCAATCAATGGAAACCCTACAACACTGGATTTATGGAAGCAAACAAGCAAATATAAATTTCCCCATTACAACAAATAGCACAACCATTAATTAAGATTGCATTTATTATTACTTTATTGTTTGTTTTGATTATCCTACAAAGGCAAAGCTGACTGATGGAATCCCTTCGTTACCAGCTAATTGCTACCTCTGTGTCAATCTACTCTGCTCTGTGCTATGAACCCAAATGTTTAATAATTCTGCAACAACGAAATGGAAGATTTATAATGAAAAATGAAAAGAAGCACAATAATTCTACAACTCTGAAGAAAATCAAGACTGATATGAAAATGGGATTGACACCCAACGAGTTTGCAATTACGTATAGTATATGACACACGGATATAATTGAATGAAAATTAGAAACTAAAATGAGTTGAGATCTGATAAAATGGTCTATTTTTTCCGATAAAAAGAAGAGTGAATAGAACTAATTGTTTACCAGTAAGAAAAATCATCAGTCAACAAGTGTAGCTAAAACTACCTAGATTTTCCGAAATTCAAACACAAACACTATAAACAGTGGACTTCAACTGCTAATAGGAAAATCATTTTATGAGCAAACCTTGTATGACGAAAGCACCTAACAACTACCCTACCCTACCCACTAATGCAGATTTCAATCTAAGAGTTGGAAATTTCAATACTAAAACTTAAGATTAGTTTGCAACAAAAAAAAACAGATTAATTGGAAATTTCAATTCTATTAACTGTTATTTAAAGCCCAAAAATCAAATTAAAAAAACATGCATTCAACAAGAATCCAAAAAAACACAAACACCCAAACCAAAAAGAAATAAAAATAAGCAAAGGTTGAAGGAAAAGGAGTAACCTGAAAGCAGATGAAGTGAGTAAGAAGAGCAAAGGGTAAATTTTTGATCGAGAATCGGATACTCCTCCAATCTGTGCCGTGGAGTTCAAGAACAAAGAACGCTTGGGAGAAGAAGATATGGTAGAGGCAAACGGGAAAAGAGGGTATTTTAGCCCTTAGCACACGGGAATAAAAGAATACCTAATAAAAGCAAGGGATTATCCTTCCTGGTAAAAAGAGAATTTTTTTTTATTGTTTGGAATATATTATTACTCCTTATTGAGAATTTTTTCCATCCAAACATGAGAATTTGAATTTGAAAAAAAAAAATTCTACTAGGAATCTTGAATTTCATGATCCAATCACCCCTTATTATCATGTTTCACTTATTTATTTTATAGAAATAAACATGTTTAATAAAAATAAGGGTAAACTAAGGAGTTAATCATCCAACTATTATTTTTTTAAAGTTATATTTAAAATTACGTTATAATGATCCGTCATTTATAAAATATAATAATACTTCGTAAGATAATCTCACATCATCATTAAAAAAATGAAAAGAAACTCGCACATCAATTGTTCTGCTTATTTTTAAATAACGGATAAATAAAATAAAATCAAAATGATGTTAAATATTATTTTAAACAAAAATAATTGGCTGATTAAAGTGAAACTAAAATGATGACTGGACATCTAAATACGGAGTTTATCCTAAAATTTATATAACTTAAAAAAATGGTTGATGATCATGGTAAATCTCAACTAATATTTGAAATCGAATCGGATGAAATTCCTAAATCGAAGGTGCATCCAACTCGGCGGTGACTAGGAAGTCCGTTGGTTGCCATGTACATATGACGCATCTGTTAAACAAAATCTACAAACTTGAATTTTTCTGAGCAGATTCTCCGAGGAAGACTGAAACTCAACACCATTTTGCTCTAATCTCCCTTGAGAAGAAAAATGGCAGCTAATGTTATAACCCAATCAACTCTGCTTCAACCAAAACTTGTACTTTCTGATAAAACCCTTCAAAACCCCTCTCTCTCTCGCTTAACCAGGCGCTCTCCTCCATCAAGTCTCTCTCTCTCTCTTCCTGATTTTTTGTTGCAGTAACGAGTAATGAGTGGTTCTGTTTTTTTTTTGGTTCTGCAGGGATTGGTTTTTTGCAGAAAAAGAGAACTGGGATCGTTGTAAAAGCATCATTAGCATCGACTGTATTGGACTAAACTCTTCAGTTTTGGAGAATAAGAAAAGCTGCAAGAATCCCATTGTTGTCATTGACAATTACGATAGTTTCACTTACAATCTTTGCCAGGTTTAATCAATTGCAATTTTAGAATCTGTTTCCTTCTTCTTTGGCCAATCGTTTGCCTCCTCTTATTTGTCTTTATGGTTTAAGGCTTGCTTTGAATTGATGTTTGATTGCTTGCAAATCTATTGGAAAAATGATGGGAAATATAATCACTCGATATGATTGTTTCATCGGGAAGCTTATCGTATTTGATTGTGATAGTGTGTACATTGATCGTTAGGGAAGACTGGATAATTTAGTTTTAGTCTAAGAAACCCAACTAAGCCAAGTGTAAAAGGGGAAAAATGTGCTGGTTACGTTTGTTTCCTTTAATAAGAAATGAGATAAGATACATACATAGATACATGCATATATACATATATGTTTATGTATGATGTACATAGTCTACAGAAAATTTATTGTTTTTTGTTATAGTTCTCTAGTTCTTTCCTTGCAAGGGAAGGATTCACATTCAGAAGAGGTGCTTCATCATAAATATTTGCCTCAATAAAAATGATGTATTTTTTTAATGGCTATGGCTGCCAAAAGAAAGTTAATATAGTTTGAGGGTTTCAGTTAGAAACATGATATATCAAAAGTGATTCCTGCTGAATCGGTTAATCATATTTGGCATCTTTGATCCTGGCTATCAGTGAGCATGGTGATTTATGAAAGTCAATAGAATGCGACAGTTTCTTAGATTTATGGTACCAATAATTCTTTGGTTGGAGATTATCACCACTTCGATAAGAAATGTATTTTTCTACCCTGCCAATAACCACCGAGAAACCGACTATCAGGGAATAGAGTGACATCTGGAATCCAATGTAGGGATTTCACCTTCACTTCTCTCTTATCTTTCTCCTTTTAAACAGCTGACGGGGAACATTTGATTGTTGCCTTTTGAAAGGAGCCATAAGAGTTAATTAAAGAATTTCCTTCGCTTCAAATATTTTATGCTTCTTTGTTCTAAACATTTTAGTTTAATTGTTCTCTTACTCTTTTCCAAGTTGTATTCATGACTAAGAACAAAATATCCTCAGACTTGACATGTAATTTTGTAGTATATGGGAGAGCTTGGATGTTACTTTGAGGTTTACCGAAACGATGAGCTAACCGTAGAAGAGTTGAAAAGGTAAGAATTAAGCTTTTGAGTTGTGTAATATGGTTTATTAATTTAGTTGTGTTTCATGACAGATAGTAGGTGGTGAATGTTTATTTGTTAACAAATCTCTAAAGATTTGATTCAATAAATGACAATTTTTTCTTGTTACTTTTGTAGGAAAAACCCTAGGGGAGTGCTCATCTCCCCTGGTCCAGGTAATAGTTTGTTAGATATTTTAAACTAAAATAAATAAGAATCTGTCATATTAAGCATGAAATATACTTTGTAACCTTTGTATAGGAACACCCCAAGATTCTGGAATTTCAGTGCAAACAGTTTGGGAACTTGGGCCTATTGTACCTTTGTTTGGTGTTTGTATGGGTCTGCAGTGCATTGGTGAGGCTTTTGGTGGTATGTGTCTTAGGATGTCCGACAAGTTAGATAAGAGATTACTTCATATTTGTATATGTTGATTACTGATGCAAAGCTACTAGATGGTGGGATTTTAACATATTCTCTTGGACTTCATTTAAAACTGCAGGAAAGATTGTGCGTTGCCCCTTTGGCGTTATGCATGGCAAAAGTTCTCTTGTATATTATGATGACAGGGAACAAGATGGGTTGTTCTGCGGATTGTCAAAGTATATATTACTTCTTCATACCTGATTTTCCTTTAAAATCCTTGGTGTGCTTAAGCTATGCCCCATATTTTAGATTTTATTGATCTCTCTTTTTACCTTTCGGATATCAAGATTTCTAAGCAGCATTTTTCTCCAATCAAGTTTCAACTTTCAGGGAATTTTATATTCTTTATAACAAAAGAGTGGACAGGGTAAAATCGAACAAATTCCTGTTTACTTTACGCTTGAATTTGGCATCACATTCCATCCTCTCTACTTTATCTTCTTTCTTTTTCATCCCCATCAGCCATTTGAGTTCTAATAACCTAACATTTTCTATGCCTTGATTCCTCTACCGTTGCATTTTTCTTTCTAAATGTATCAAGATTCATCCTCAATTAGGAAGAAGGGGGAGTAAGAGATAAAAGATTAGAGAGTTTAATGTGTAGGATAATCTGTCTGCTTTTTTCTAGACACATGTGAAACATCTGTTAGTTTACTCTTTAAGTTAAATAATTTCCATTTTGTTTTCATTATTTACACCTCATGTTATCTGCAATTCTTAATATTATTGCTCCTTTCCAGCCCTTTCCATGTTGGTCGATATCACAGCCTCGTGATTGAAAAAGACAGTTTCCCTGGGGAACTACTTGAGGCTACTGCTTGGACAGAAGATGGACTGATAATGGCTGCTAGGCACAAAGTATATAAGCATCTACAGGTAAGACTGCCGTCTCATTTACTTGTAACGTATTAGTACAATGATTTACTGATCTAGAATATATGCCTACTTCAAAATGGTTACAAGCTGATTTGTCTTGTTGGAAATGTATTTGCTGCGATCTTAACTTAAATTAGTTGCCCTCCTAACTGCCAAAATATCTGCGGGTATATTTCTCTTACCGTCTCTAGAATAATTGGAAATGTTAACCTAGGAATAAATTATCGGTGAGCTATGTTGCTCCAACTATTCATTTTTCTTGAAATACCCGAGTCCGACATATAGGTATGATCTCCAAGGATCCTCCAAATACATGGAAAAACTTAGAGAAATCTAACCATACTCGTGTCACATATAGTATCTGTGAACATTGTCTGAGTCAGATTTACATAGTCTGTGAACATAATTTTAGCTGTGGAGGATCATATTACTTGATTTAGAATGTTTGAATGAGGGTCTTGAATTCTTCTTCTTTCTGCAATGTGTTCTAATCTCCTACACTTTTTAGTTCATCAAATGATATTTGATTAGATCAATCCAACATTTTCATGTCATTGTTATCGATTTTATAATAATGTCATAATCACACATGAACACCTTGAGTCTACTTAGCTTTTAACTTTCACGCTCCATCTTGTTATGCTTATTTTCCACTTACTTTCGTTTACTAATTGATTGGAAACTGTAGGGTGTTCAATTCCATCCAGAGAGCATCATAACTTCCGAAGGAAAAACAATTGTTCGCAATTTCATCAAACTAATCGAGAGAAAGGGGGCTGAATCCCATAACTAGAGGTGATGCTCTGCTGCTGTGCAGATAAATACTTGAGTCATAAACATCAGCATCGGCCATGAAACCACCAAGGCATAATCTGATATTCTTTCTTAATTTCCTTTTCGTTCTGAATCATATAAGTTCTCGTGTAGAACTCAAAAGTTAGTGAAATTCCTGAATGCAACTCCTTTTCTTGTTCAAACCATCTTACTGATATCAGTGCTTTTAGACTATCATTTATTTCCCTAATCAGTTCGCTTCAAAACGAATCTTGATAATTATTTGAACACGATATTTTGTTACTAGTTGGGATATGCAATGTTGCTTTAATTTTTTTTTGTAAACTTCAACAATAAATCAGAAAAACTTAAAACTGTTTCAGATTACAGAGATAAATAATGGGAGAAACAATCTGCTCTGGCTAAAATATAGCAGAAGAGCAAATCTTACAGTGAGAAATGAACAGACCAAACATCTTAGAACAAACAATCAAAGCCAGAACCTGTGTTTTACTTTTCATTGTTTTCATCGAGCATCAGCTGATCTAAACGAATCTGCAAACCCAGATGGGAGGCGAGGTATACTGGTCTGTGTAGTGTCTGTACTGGCCAGAAATGATGAAGAATCATTCAAATTGCTGTTCTCTAATGCTTGCCATTTTTTGAGTGCTTGTGGTAGAGTCAATTCGAGGTCAATGCCATATATGTCACCGGAATCAGGTTGTTCTGGTTTCCAGAGCTCGACCAGTGATGACAACAGATTGACCACATGGTTCATATCTGGCCTCCGGTTGGGCTCCCTTGCACAGCAGTGGCAAGCCAGTTCCGACACTGTTCTAATACTGGCAAGTTTTTCTTCATCGAGATGAATGGTTTTGTCAATGACCTTAAGGAATGTGTCCTTATTTACGTACATCCTTCGGAACCATGTCACGAGGTGCAGGCTCTCTTCGGACTGTGTTTCGTCGAGTGCCTTACGGCCTGAGATCAACTCCATGAGGATTACACCAAAGCTAAATACATCCACCTTTGTGGTCACTCGGCCGGTAACTGCCGAAATGCGAGTGATGTCAGTCTAATGCTTTCATCCTGTAAACCAAAAGCCTCGGTGGAAGCAAACAAACCAGAGGCATGTCGTAGAAGAAAAGAGGGGAAAAAAGGCATAATGTGCATGCATTTCTGATCAGAAAATGAAAAAAACGAAATCGATTACCTGCATACTCTGGTGCCATATACCCAAATGTTCCTGCAAGTTTTGTTTCGACTGAATGTTTACCATCCGCTGGAGCTAGTCGAACCAAGCCAAAATCTGCAACTTTAGCACGCATATCATCTCCGAGAAGAATATTCGATGGCTTAAGATCTCGATGAATGAAACTCTGCTGCGCCAGTCCATGTAGATACTCAACACCTCGAGCCACGTCTAAGGCAATTGTAAGTCGCCTCGTCCAGTCGAGTGGTTTCAACCCTTCTTCCTTCCAGTTGAATAGGTGCCTGCTGAGGGTCCCCTGAGGCATGTATTCATAAACAAGAAGCCTCTCGTTTCCATCCAAGCAATATCCAAGATTTGCAACCAAATGGCGGTGACGAACCTTAGTAAAAACCGCAATCTCCGACTTAAACTCGGCCAAACCTTTTGCACTCACGGCACCAGATTCCATCCTTTTCACTGCAATCTTCGTCCCATCGTGCAATTCCCCTTTGTAAACTGTCCCAAAACCACCTTTTCCCAATATATTTTGCTCACTGAAATTATCTGTGACATTCCTCAAAACTTGAATTGAGATAGCCATGCAACTGGACTCAACCATGTGAACAGCAGTAGGTCCACTGTTCATGTTGCGGAAGGTTTCACTTTGACCAGTAATGCACGGTCCAGAAACGGTTATCTTGACTCCTTGGTCACCGGAATGATGATGATGTACAAGCGAAGTAGACGGACTCTGTATCTTACTAGTACGCTTTTGTTTTCCGGCACACAAACAGATGACCGAAACAAGAAGACTCAAGCCACCAACAACACCAATGGTACAACCCAAAACTGTGCCTTTATTAGATTTCTTTTCACCATTTCCAGAAGGATTAGCAGCATTGTCACCACCAGGAGATCTGCCTCCAGATGTACTAGGAACCGTCTCTTTTCCAATTTCTCTGTTTCCAGCAGTAATTACATCAACATCATGCCTAAAAGACGGTATCTTTCCATAAAGCCTATTGTTCGAAACATCTAATCGAGCAAGCTTAGGCAATGTAGTGAGCTCTGCTGGTATGAGCCCGGTAAGATTGTTATCCGAAAGATCCAACGTTCTCAACGATGTAAGCATCGAAAAGTTGCTTGAAATTGAACCGGTAAGCCCCTTCTTTGCGAAAAGAACGGAAATAATCTCTCCTCGATCACATACGATACCGAGCCAATCGTCACAAGGATCATTACCTTTCCATTCAACAGAAAAACTATCCGGATAGCCAACAGATTCTGATATAGATAACAATATATTAATGCGACCGTCGCAAGCAACACCGGGATTATCTAAGCAAAATCTATTACTACCGGCATTCATATCAGCAATCACATGATCAGCAAATCGAGGGGTCGGACCTTGAAGTTCATTATTAGTCAAGTTCACAATATAAAGTGACTTCAAGTTAACCAAAGACAAAGGGACAATACCAGTGAAGTGATTATCTCTTAAACTCAAGTTCCTCAACTGAGTTAACATTGAAAAATCAGGTAAAGGACCTGAAAACTTGCTCTCATGAAGCCATACCTCAGTCAAAGAAGACATGTTTCGAATCACTTGGATTGTGCCATTCAGACTCTGCCCGTTAACCCACAAGGACTGAATCATTGAACCAGAGAACTCAACAGGCAATTCTCCTTCAAGATTGTTTGAAGCCAAATGAAGTTCTGTCAAAGATGGGAAAGTTTCCGGGTCAAAAAAACCCGGGATTTTGCCTTTGATGTTAGCATTGTTGGCCGAGAAAGTTTTCAGATAAGTTGCTTCCTTTAAGCTCTTCGGGATCTCCCATGGCTCTAAAGGGTTGTTGTCAAGGTGAATGGCAGTCAGTGAAGTTAAACCAGTGAAGAAATCTGGCGGGAAAGATGAAAAGTTGTTGTTGTGGAAGTTAGCTTCTTGCAGCTGAGTTAAACCAGCAAGACTCGGGATTGGGCCATTGATTTTGTTGTTCATTACTTCAAAGATGGTGAGCTGAGTCAAGTTCTTGAGCTCGGGTGGAAGTGTTCCACCAATGTTTTTGCTTGGTATTTGGATTCTGGTGATTCTATTCTCTTGACAGTCCACTTTAGCCCATTGACAAGGGTCAGGGTCAGACCAGTCGAGTGAAGATGGGATTTTTACGCTTGTTTTTAGCTTTTCCATGGCTGGTGAGTCAGGGCTGAATTGAGAAGAGACTTGTGAAGTGAAAAAGTAAATGGCTGCAAGAAACTGAAAAGCAAGACATCCCAGAAAATGGGGTTTCTTCATTGTTGTTCTCCTTTTTTTTTTTCCTTGAGAAAATTGATAGAGAAAGTGAGGAAATTTGGAAGGAAAGTTTGGGTTTATGGTGGCATTGATGATATGATCAACTAAATTAGAGGAGGAAAGGTGATTGAAAGAGAAACGGCGGGGACAAAGGAACAGAGTAAAAATGGGAGTGTTTAAAAGTTTTTTACGTTTTACAAGACGTCAACTTTTTCTAAAAACATCTCGGAAGTAAAGAGTGAAAAATAGTTGGATGTGTTTGGTTCTCGAGAAAGGGAGAGAAAAATGGTTTGCACATGCCAATGGTCCTACTTTAACTACCCTAAAGTCGTAAATCCCTCTCCATTCTCTCTTTTTTTCTCTCAAAAGGATCGTTGGACATTTTTTCCTTGTACAATTGAAAACATATTTATTTTGCCTAGGACTTACTTTTATTGATATGTATCATTTCGTATTTAAATTAATATCAACTTCTAATACTCGGTTTTTTTAGAGGAATAATACATATAAAAATAAGAAAAGTTTATTCTGACAAAACTTTTTATAATCTAACACTACTGCCATATTGTAGGGCAAATTTGTCCTTCCAATAAAATTTAGGGTTAACTATACGAATTATAATTTATTTTTGTGTTTTGTTCACTTTTGATCACTGTTTTCAAAAATCATAAAATATAGTCATTTTCGTTTTTATTTAATTAAGTCTCCGAGTTAACTGTTGCTAACCGCAGTTAAATATTTTGATATAATCACATATTTGATCCTTTTTCTTTATATATTCTTACAAGTTAGTCATACTTTTAATAAAAAAATATTATTTAAGGGAATTTGTCGTTCTAGCAAGACAAGTTTTAGATTTTTTTTTACTGAAATTTGTTGTATGTAAACGGCGAGTTTTTTAAAATAATATATTTTATTAAAATTCATCATGTTGAAATAACAAGTTTATCCTCTATTGTAACAATCGTCTTAAATTAAAAATTATTTTTTCCTAACAAATGCATTCCATTTTTTAGATCTCGCATGAATTATTTGACTAAAAAAAATATTTAAATTTGTTTTGGTTAATATTAGTTTATAATAAATTATAATCATTTTATATTAAATGGTACAGAGTATAACATGTTAAATTGATTTTTAATTTTTTGTCTCAATAATTTATTATTAATAATTATATTTAAAAATAAAACATAATAATTAATAATTTATGCAAATATATTTATATGTATACAATTTAGGAATAGAAAAGTTATAAGCGAAAGGAATAAGAAAAATATGGAAGGAAAATTGGGAATTGGGTTATCTTATAAAGGTATTACCATATAATTAAAAGAGGAAACATTATGATTAAAGAAAAAAAAGGGACAACATTAAGATTAAAATGAATTAGACAATTAATAAATCGGATATTAATGATTATAAAAAATAAGAATCATAATATATCTTTATATTAAAACCAATCATGTTATTTACAAAAAAATTAATTAGATATAGGTAGGCCTTAAATACTTTTAAATTTGTTAGTTACATTATTATATATGATGAGACAAAAGAAAGGTTGGTTCAACTTTTAAATTAAATTTGTTGGCCCCAAGAAAATAAATTTAGATAAGGCTCTTCTAATCCTTTCAACTTTTGTATTTTCTCATTAAATCTAATTCTAACCCAAAATTAAATTTAATTACTAATATTATTTTTTTAAAACATTAGTTAATGTTTGATCGATTAATTATTATTATTAATTAAAGAATAAAAAACAAGATGTGAAATCCAAAAAGTAGTCCATAGACGGCTTACTTGTAGAATGTATTATCGGTTCAGCTGCCTAAATTTTTTTAATTATCCATTTTCAGCGCTTTCTCATTAAATCTAATTCTAACCCAAAATTAAATTTAATTACTAATATTTTTTTAAAACATTAGTTAATGTTTGATCGATTATTATTATTAATTAAAGAATAAAAAACAAGATGTGAAATCCAAAAAGTAGTCCATAGACGGCTTACTTGTAGAATGTATTATCGGTTCAGCTGCCTAAATTTTTTTAATTATCCATTTTCAGCGCTTTTAACAATGAAATATCAACAGGATAAAAATTAAAATGATATTTATTTATAATTAAATCAAATGATTGAATTGATTATTAAATTTCACTATTTTTAAATTAAAATTTCACCGTTTAAAGGGTGTTTTGCATATTAAACTTGAATTATTGCAATTTAAATTAATTAGATTTTTGCTTAATAAACTGTATTTAATAAGTTGGAAAAATAGTAAGTTGCTCATTCATGTATGGTCACATGGGCTCATCAACTTTCATTTTTAATACGTAATTTAAATCCTCTGCCAATTAATTATGAACAATTTTAATTTAATTATTATTTTTTAATTTAGATTATTAAAATTTTAATTGAAATCTTCATAATTAAATAATTATAGTTATAATTTATCTTTTTTAATATTATAAATTAATCGAATAACGTTGAATCTAAAAATATAAAACCATAAATAAATATATAAGTTGGACTAGTAACATACCTCTTTTTGATATTTGAAAACTAAAGAACAAAGCTTTTACAACAAAATTCATTAAAAAAAATCAGAACTCCATTTCCGAAAAGTTCTCAAAGTCTCGAGAGAAAATCAAAGCATCCCCTTTGTAAACACCTATACAAACAGATGAGGATGTAGTTTCCTGTCGTAGTATACAAATACTCGAATTCTAATCAAGTCGAAAATCGATGTTCGGGTTAGAAATAATTGCCCCAACATGCATATGCATGCTTTTGAGCGGACTTTTTTTTTTTTGCTGGAAAAGTTTACCTGGCTCGTGTTTCTCGGTTTTGGTTTTGTCGACTTTTCCGGTGTAGGTGCAAGGTGTTTCGTCATGAGTCCGAGATCGGTTTGACTTGGAAGAACTTGGCAACTTCCTGGTAGAGATTTTCTTCCTCAAATGGCTTCGAGACGTATCCATCCATCCCACATTCAAGACACTTTTCATAGGTGGCATGAATTACATCGGCCGTCATGGCTAATATCGGGACATGCCACTCACCTTTCCGGGCCAAACCTTCATCTGTGCCGTCTCCATTCGTCAGCTCATTGGCTTGACTCTCCATCATTCGAATCCGATGGGTTGCCTCGAACCTGAAATAACATGATATTATGACATTGCAATAGATAAGACTTCCTTTTCCCTTCTTTTACTGTATTTTGATCGTCGATTGCTCATTGAGAAAAATATTAATATACATAATTACATACCCGTCCATTTCTGGCATCTGAATGTCCATGAAGCATGCATCGTAAGAGTGCGGAATTTGAAGCAGTTTTAGCGCGGCTTTTCCACTTTCGGCACATTCTACAGCAGCTCCGAACTTCTTCAATGCACCTGCGGCAACTCTTCGATTTACCATATTGTCATCGACTACTAGTATTTTCTTTCCAACAAATAAACTCCGAAGAGATCCATTTTGCGTGTCTTTTCCCGCCTGCCGCTTCTTCCTGATCCCGAGCACCTGTTGAAGACATGCAGCCACCATACTTGCCCTCATAGGTTTCATAATTATAGTGTCTGCAAAACCGGCTGCCTTAGCTTTCTCAAGTTCAGCGTTCGTAATATTTGTCGCGAGAAGAATCATTTTAGGAAACTTAAACACATGTCCGTTCTGTTTCCAGTCCAACATCCGTAAGCTCAAACCACCATCCGCACCGGAAAGCCATGAATCTTTCTCAACAAGAATTATATCCGGCTGGATTTTACTTCTGCAATATTCAACGAAGTTAAACATTATATCAGTTTTTTCCCCCAACGATACCACATGGTATTTGGCCTTTTATAGCAGTTCAATGGTTGGTTTCGATATATAAAACCATCTGTTACCCACATGAAGCCCGAAATATAAAACATAATTTTACAGAATTTACGAATAATCTTCAAAAATAATTCTAAACAGGAATTCGACTTACCCACATGAAGAGCCATTTTTCCCACATGCAGAAACTGCTCCCTTTACACTACTTGCAACTTCAGCCAGTATACCAAGTCTCTTCAAGTGGTAAAGGGTCACAGCAGCTCTAACCGGTTTTCCGTCAACTACCATTGCTTTCAACAGTCGGAAACTAGAAGGAAGATCTTCGGTATTGGGTTTTTTCGTATCACTAAAAGAAGCTTTTTTACATCTCCCAAAATCTGCGGTGAACGAGAATGTGCTTCCATCTTGAGGCCGGCTAACGAAGCTTATGTGACCACCCATTAGCTCCACCAAACACTTGGTAATGCTCAAGCCTATACCTGTCCCACCGTAATTTCTCGAAGTTGAACTATCTGCCTGCATAAATGGCATGAAAATTCTATCCTGGGCAATTAAAGGGATCCCAATGCCGGTATCTTCTACAGATACCACCAAAGTGACACTCTGAGAAGTTTCACCGGCAACTGTCATGTTTATTGAGGCATCATATGGCGATTCTTCATTGGAAACTAAATGCTTGAAGGAATCCCAACTGTTCCGCTCATCGGCTGCTTCATAACCAGTCAAGGTTTTAAACTGGCGTGCACCTGAGAGCGGCACACTATCATCTGACCCTCCGTTCAAACAATTTTTGGCTATTGCGTCGTCTACGGGCTTTGTGTTTTCCGCTAGATGGACTTTAACAATAACGTGTCCCCGTTCTGTAAACTGTCAGACACAATTTAAACGACCACCAACTTGTTAAAAAGATTTGATACACAATTCAGTAGAAAACGGCACAAGAAAAAGGGCATGGTGAAAATTATTGTATATTTGGTGCCCGTGGACTCGGGATAGGGTGAGGGTATTGGATAGCGGTACAAGACAGGTACAGTCAATTTTTTCAAGTATATTTTATGTATTTTGAGGGTCCTTGAAGGGTCATATCTCATGCTCATGTTCGGATATGAGTCGGACATGAGTACCTCAAGAAAAATGAAAAGTCGGAGCACTATAGATACATACCACCTACTTTGTGCCAAAAAGAATGAAGATTAAGCAACCCACTTACTTTGACAGAGTTCCCAACAAGATTCGTAACAATCTGTCGGAATCTTCCTGGATCCCCCATAACCATATCCGGAACTTTATCAGAAACAAAGACCGCCAACTTCAGTTTCCAAACAATTACACCGTATTCAAGTTATTGTATGAATCAGGAACATCATCATTTGTCGATTTAAGCGATCCAACAAAGTGAAGGAAATTAGAAAAAAGAAGACACCGAGTTAGTTCAAGTATTATGAACCCTGAGGTTTTTCCTGTTAGACATGCCCTGCCTATAGGAGCTAAATAAACTGCAAATGAAGAATTAGATTTTCTATTAATTTCATCTAGACTTACCTCGACACCTTTGTTCCTAGACTTCTCGGAAAATAAAGAGAGCACATCATCTAGGATAGATCGAAGGTCGAAAGGGACCGTTTCCATCTCCAACTTTCCAGCTTCGATTTTTGCCCGATCAAGCACCTCGTTTATCAATGTAATCAATGCCTTTCCGCAGACTTGAGCAGTCTGAGCATAATCCCTTTGAGTTGAACTTAAATCCGTGTCTAAAAGCAAAGCAAGCATCCCTGGAACCATTCAAAACGTCATCAAAACATTGCAGATTAAAATCGAAAAATGCCCTCAAATGCCATATTTCACAGAGAAGAACTTGAGATATCTAGAACATACCGAGGATGCCATTCATGGGAGTCCTGATTTCATGAGAAACTGTTGCTAAAAACTGCAACAAGAACACATTGCTATTAGTTTTAGCTCAGAAATCGGTAATCAACAATGTGTTTAAAGATATATCTTTAAAAACATACTTGTGATTTGGCAACATCAGCAGCTTCGGCTCGAACCTTCAGTTCTTGCATTTCATGGAAATCGTCTTCAACTTTAACGATGTGTATAGCTGCACCATATAAGATATAGCCAACTAATAAGCAGATCACAAAGAATAAGAATGCGGTGGTCAGCGCTGTCCACGAAGTCGGTGCCTTCTGATGATATCTGCTCGAAAAAGCCAACGACTAAGAACTTATAAAATCAACAGCTTTCATTCAGTAAACCGTGTGGATAAGTAACCAGTTTTGCACTCACCTACATATCATTGTATGCTTCCTGAACGGATCTCCGAAATCGAGCTTGCTTTCATACAACAGAGCCAAGTCACCATCTTGATCTTGGTGACCATACATGATCAGGTGATCAGAAGAGTTAGTAATGTCATATACATGCACTAGAATAGCTTGATTTCCAGCAAGTTGCCCGAGCAGATTCTCCACAAGAGACTCCACATCAAAGGCTCCACCAAGGTATCTGTTTTATAACTTATTTTTTATGCGTAAGGAAATCAAAATTTTCTAACAAAGAAATGAACTAACAGAAGCCATTAGCCCCATTTTTTAGTGCATAAGGTATATGTGTTCGCCAAGACTATACTTTCGGATTACTTATGTACCTTCAAATTACTAACATCATCGGCATTGATCACATTAACAAAAGTCTAAACCTTTTTTCCCATTTGAAGTGTCCATTCTAATACAACTGCATTTGCCATAGACCACAAACTTTTCTCATATTCACTCTCAAACTCTAGTATGCAAAAGCTTATGACTTACCCTGCAGTTGCTTCAATGCGCTCTTCCAAAGTCGGCCTTGTTGGGAGCTTGGGTTTGTAAACGGGGAATGTCAACACAACACCAAGATGATGAGAACCAAGAAGCCTGAAGGGGCTAGTTAGGACGGCTTTCCCTGTAGCCCTAGCCCTTAAGATGTTTTCTCGATCTTCCTGCGCAAAGTAACACGGACAATTTAAATTGAATCTAACAACAAATTTAAATATCAACCGATAAGGTAAAAGCTTTGAACTTATAAGCAGAGTGTATATAGCAAACCGCATACTTCCCCTGACATCATATCGAGTGATTCGATATAGGAAACGGTTTCTTGTGAGAGTATCACTGGAGCATATTCGTCTCGAACAGGAGAAGGTTCCCTCTGCATCGTCTTTATCGTCCAACCATGCTGTCTCTCGAATTCCTCCCTCTCCGAATGAACAACCCTTTCTGCATAGGCCACCCCACTAAGCAGTGGCCTCTCGAATGCAGTTCTTGCCGTGTACTCAGCAAAAGTCTCCTGCATTTCTTGCCAAAAAAAGGAAAACACCCCAAAGTGCACAATCAGACAGAAACAATCCAAGATGCCATTTTTGGACAACAATACAACAAATATAGAACTTCAACTCAAATAGAAATTCCCAAATCTATATGAACAATTATGGTCAACCTGATCAATAGCAGATGGATTCTTGTAGTAATGAAAAGTGGAAATAAGGATGGCCAAGGCATGAACATGGTTAACACTAACGCTGAATTGATCTTGCAACATCCTTGCCCTCTCATCACACATGCTGCTCAATACCTCTTTCCTCCTAACTTTGTTATCAGCATCCATTTTTTTGTAGATCCAAGTGCTCAAAAAGGCCATCACCATTACCCAAAGCAAAAGAAATTTGGGCAACCAAGCCCTGTTAGATTGAATAAATGTGTACCCTCTTTTGGTCCCCATTTGTTCATTCACTTTAACAGCCACCACCGAGTGATGGTGGTGGTGGTGGTGGCTCTGTTGCAGCTTTAGACCCATCAGCAAAAAGCTCAAAACTTCTAATCTCAACTTGTTTTTTCTTCTTCTTCTTCTTCCTTTGACACCCACTTCATATCTGAGTTTGAAGAAGGAAAAAAATACAAACTTGAACAAAAAGACGAGGGACTCGGAACTCTAAAAAGGGAAAACACTTTTTAATTCTCGGCAATTTACCGAAATAACACCCTAACAACGAAATATACCTGTCATGTACATTTTCTTCAAATATTATCGATCAAGTACCCTTTCTTACAAAGTGTAGATCATGATGCGCGCCTTTATAGGGTTTTGTCCGAGTTAAAATCACGGTGAAAAAGCGTGGATCATGAGGCACATCTTCGTGGGTTTCTGTCCGAGTTAACGCCACGTAACAAAGGAACAGATCATGAAGCGTGTTTTCTCTGAAAATCTGACACGTATAGAGAAAGTGCAGATCATGAGACACGTCTTCCATTATTCACTTTGAATTATTGCGTATTCCATTGTTACCTAAGTCTGAGCTCTCTCAGTTATTCACCCATCCCCTTCCACTATAAATATTCCAAATACAAACATCAAATCATACAAAAATTACTTTCAAATTCTTTCTTCTATCAAACTAAATAGATTTTGTTATAGTTTTTAGAATATAAAATTATTTTTTATTCTATTATATTTATTTTATATTTAATTATTTGACTAAAATTTATTGTACTAATTATTTTGTATTATTTTTTTAGGTTGTAAAATGGAAGACGGGATCATATATCGAGATATTTTACCAATACGGTAACAATATTAAATTATGTTATTTAAATTATTGTGAATTTTTTATTTTTATCATTAGTTTATATTTTAATTCGTATACAATTTATTTAATTAAGTGTATTTCAACTATTGTTTTTGCAAATATATGACTCGCAATCTTTCAAACTCTTAAACTCTAAAAATGATTCGTATTTAAGCTATCGTTTAATAAGATGTAGAAATTCGGGAAGATGAAACCGGCGTTGTCTTCGCATCAAATCATTCAGTCAGAATATCCTTCAACAACCAGTTAACTTATGTTTTGCCCCGTCTATCGATGTTATGCATATTATCGAGATTCCTAGGTGCTTTAGGAATAGATTGTACGAAACCAAATTAGCGGAGCACGCAATTAATAAGATGTCACTCAACAATAGCATAACATATTAGAGGGACTACCACCATCTATACATCTAATGGGTCACTCAAGTGAGATGTTATGCAACGCCTCATTTCTTCAGTAGAATAAGGAACCCATTGGAACTAAAACAAATATATATAATTCTTATCAAAATAAAATTCTACTTATATAAAGATAATTAAAGGTAAATAATAAAATTTAAATACATACCTCTATACCAACCTTTTGATCAATGAGCAACCGAATTTCTTCCAATTCGTCTGGTATATCATGGTGATCTTTCCTTATAGATGATCACCTATTTAGTATAAAAAAATCATTATATACTTAAAAAAATTATTTATATAAAAACTCAGTATTGAAATTACTTCAACAATAACAGGAAGCCTAACGTGTTTTGTCATGATCGAACATAAAAAAAGGCATGCGATACCACGCTCATGATTGCAAAAGAAAGAGTCATATGCCGATAGTATTTTTTCGATAATCAGTTGCTCGACACATTTATCTATACAGAGATGCCAAAACCACGAAGTCTCAACTGAATGAGCCGACAACTCAAAAATCTTAGAGATGACACAATTGCATACAATAAACTTGGTTGCGAAATTTATCGGGCATCAAGATCCCTCATATGAGTTGCAATATGCAAGCCCGGACAAATATTTAAGCCTATTCCTCAGAGCAGTCGTCGCTCAACCGTAAAAAATTTCTAGTCAACCATGATAACGATATTCAATCACCGTTGAAATTAGGCGGGATACCTCCAAGATACTCCTCGCACAAGGAATGAAAATCACCATCCGCCACACAAAAAATAACATTCTCATCTGCCGAAAGCCCCAAATGTAAAGAAACATCTTCCAGCGTAATAGTGCACTCCCCACATGAAAGATGAAATGTGTGTGTCTCTAGTCTCCACCTCTCAATCAGTGTAGAAATAAGGTTGAATTCAAGGTTATAGTGCCCTTCATATTTCCCTATATAATTGAATCCAATCTCAGTTAAATACGACCAGACTTGACTCAGAATCTCTAATTTAGCATTGCGAATAAATGTATATAATATGTTGTCATTCACCTAATTAAATAAATAGTATACAAACTTAAATATAAACTAATACTAAAAAAATAAATGAATAAAACGTTCTAAATAAATAAAATAACAGAGTTTAAAAATATTACTGCATCGATAAAATGACTTAATATATGATTCTCATCTAAACACAACAACTCGCCTGCCATTTTATAAAGTAATAAAAAATTAGTATAATAAAATAATAAACAATTAAATGATTATAATATAATAAAAAATTTAACTTCTAAAAACGATAATTATACTTACTTAAAACTTGATAAAATTATATATAGAAAGAAGAAATATAATTTTTTTTGTGTGGTATAAGGGTTGGATAAGAGGGTATTATAGGGGAGGGGGAGGTGGGTTGAACGATATTTAAGGTAAGACGGCTGTGATTTAAAGTAAAGATACGCTTCATGATCCGCACTTTATCATTGTGGCACCAACTCAGACAAAATTCTACGAAGACACGTCTCATGTTGTCGGATATTCAATCAACAATATTTTAAAAAAATGTACCAAGAAAATAATATTTATCTGTTAAGGTGATTTTTGAATAAATTGCCTGAATTTTCATAAACAAGCCTACTCTCAAAAGATGTAAACAAAAGCAGCTCAAATTTCAAAGATTTCTCATTATTCTCTCTCTACCAACAAAAAAAAATGGGTTCTTTCTTTCTTTCTTTTCTCTGGTGGCAATAAAAAAATAGGAATTATTTTTACAGAGAAACAAGACTAATCATGTATCTTCCAAGTGTGAAAGGTATTTGTCGTAGTTTGAGGACGACAAAGACAAAGAAGAGCACGTTCACAGTTCACTGTGTTTTCTTCTATAATCTGCATTGAGCAGCTCTCACGGGCCACAGCAAAGCACAACAAAGCAACGACCCCCAGGAAAAAGGAACAAAAGATAAAATATAAAGATTGTTAAAAATCTTTGGAGGGAGAAATGGGGTCATTTGAAATGGAATTATAGATGCAGTACATTGCATAAATATTTTATATATAGTACCGAGTTATTTTTTTGGCAATTTTTTATAATGTATTGGAAAAAATTTATAGGTTTATTATGTTCGATTAATCTTTTAATAAGTAATGTGACAATCATACTAAATCACACAATAGTTTACTCTCTAAATATCTGACAATTCGAGTTTTTTTCTCTTTGGTCGTCCTTTGCTACTTGGAGATACGTTGTTGTGTGGCTAAATTAGGAAAAATGGTGGGAAAAATTGATTGGAAAAATTAAGTAATTTTCAAGATTAATTAGACAAACAGAGTGATTTATACATTAACCAATATATTTATCAGTAGATGAAGATAAATTAAATTAGAACTGCGAGAAGGTGTATATAAATTTACCTTTTTTACATAGTTTTAGGATTAAAATAAAATTTTCAAAAATTGACCCATTAAAGTGAGACGATGACTATAAAAAAGAAATTAAATTATATTTATGTAAAAGATAGAATTTATATCTGACAGATTAAAAAATAATATTTAATATTACCGATGAAAAATTAAAAATTAATTATCAAAATATTTGTTTTTGCAAAAATGATGACAAAATGTCATCAACTCTTTACCAATGTATAAATATTGAAAATTTAAATAAATTTAAAAAAATTATCTCAATTAAAAATCTAAAAATAAAATTATAACATTAATGTTTTAAATTATATTTCTAACCTAAACATTAAAATTTATTTTTCTTTATTAAACTCGCCAAAATTTAAACACCCTTACTCTCTTCAAACTTCGACTCTTTTTATGTTTTCCTTGTTTCGTACATGCAAATTTTAAGCTATATTCGGTGTCTCTTAAAAATTAATGGGTAAATTACGCAAATGGTTCCCCGACTACAAGGCATTGCTTTGTTAAATTCTCAGACTATTAAAAGTTATAAAATAGTCATATGACTATTCATATGTACTAAACTCGTCGTTTTCCATTAAAAATTGACATTCGTCTAAGCTGGACGTTAATAAATGAACTGAGATATGATAAAAATATGATCTCAGAACCGTTTGAAATGTATTTTGTATGTTGTCTCTCTATTTACATTATGACATCGAGCAAGTGCATGAAATATTATGTCGTCGAGCTAGTGCTTGAAAGTAATTCCCATGGTGTAGACATCATTAAAATATGATTATGTTATATCTCATTCAATAGGTTAACATATAGCTTAGATGACCGTCAATTTTTTTAACAAAAAATGACGAGTTTAGAACATATTGACAACCGGGTAACCATTTTATAACTTTTAATAGTTAGGGAACTCAAAAAATAACACACTCTAGTCAAGGGACTAATTAGTTAAGAAATTATTTTGTAATTTTTAATAATCGGGGACTCAATAAAACAACGTCTTATAATTTGACGATCATTTATATACTTTACCCAAAAAATTATTTAATACATTAGTGGTTGTTTTTTTAAATTTAAATATTAATTATATATAATAATAATAAATTCAATATATTTGTGAAGAGAAAATGTTATTATCATATTAAAAAATTATGAAAAAAAATCTCTTAAAGATAAAGCTTGTATCTAAATTTATTATATTCCATATATTTTATATATTATTAGCTTATAGAACCATATGAATTATGTAAAGTTACATGTTAAAACATTTAATTAATTTATAAATGTTTAATTATTTGTATTTGTTTTATTTAAAAAAAAGATTATAGTGATGTTTTAGCGTCAACTTCACTGTTAGTGAATATTTACATTCCATACATTTAAATCTCCTATGCTTTTTAGTCGAGTATTATCCGCAAAGATAAGTCAAACGAGAGCATATGAGGTAATTATCTCTTGAAAATTTTAAAATTTTATATATTAAACACTTTTTATATTTTTTTATTAATAATTTATTTTATTTTTTAAATTTTATAAAATT